AAGCAGTGTGTGTGTGTGTGTGTGTCTGGCTGTGTGCATCATAAAATCAGATTTAAACTCCTCAATCACCATTACACAAAAGCATTCCAGGGTGTGTTTCAATTTTGACTTCTTCGTTTCCGCTGGGCTCTCAGTGCAGTGTTTTAAATACTCTAATGGTAATCATATCGGACGAGTCAACGGTACGCGGTTTAACCGGTTCAACCGATTTTACCGTCTATTTTATTGGTTTAAATAAACATTAAATTAATTTTTTATTATAATATAAATAATGTACAAAACTAACTTTAATTAATACTAAAATTAATTAACATCTAATAACAATGTAAATATATTAAAATTAAGTGTTGAATTTTTAAATTATATAAATAAATTAATGAAAATATATTATTTTTTTTAAATATGGCATAAACCGGTATTTTGACCGGTATTTGTCAGTAAAACCGGTATTTTACGGTATGAAACCGGTATAAACCGGTATTTTGGCCAAAACGGTATTTAGAATGTAACCGTATCAGTCGGACCACCGGTAATGCCGGCCGGTACGGTACGGTATTTAAAACATTGTCTCAGTGTATGTCATTTTCAAAACCATTATAGGAAAAAATATTAATAAAACACATGTATAATGGTTTACTGGTCGGACCAGTGGTCGATCCGTTTTAATTAATATATAATTTTTTATTTATTTTCTATGTATAATATATAATTATATATATTTTTATCATTAATTTTATAGTGTATGCCATTTCTCTAAATAATAACTCACTAATAGATACAACCGATAATGTTGATTAATATTTATAATTTTATTATTTTATTATTTATATTTAAAATTTTAATCTATATTTAAGTTACAAAATAGAGAATAAAAACAACCATATTTTCATTTTAATCACATTTTAAATTTTTTATTATTGATTAAAAAATAAAAAATAAATAATAAAAATAATGTACATAACAAACAACAAGAATTTGCTTATTTCTTTTTTAATAAATTTGGGAGTACATTTTTTTAATGAGTACAATATTGCTTGTAAGGCCCAATATTGACCCAATAATTTTAGCAAGAGAACATATCCCACATTGGAAACACAACTAAGAAATGGGTGCTATTTAAGCCACTTCCCAATCAACACATTTCAAATTCAAAAGTTTGAACCGGTGAACTGTTCGAACCGGTTTGACCGATTTTTGACTGGTTCGAATGCTAGGCGGTTTGATGTGGTAAACCGGACCGGAATGAAAGCCGGTTCCCGGCCCAACCGGTTTAACCGGCCAGTCCGATTTGGTTTTCAAAACCATAGAAAACATACATATTTTTATTAAACGAAGTCTTACTTTCATTAAATATGGCTTATTTTTATAAAATCTTGTCTGAAATTTTATTAATTGCTTTGTCGAAAATTATATATATATAGATATATATTGCAAATTGCAAGGAACGAGTATATTTGAGATAAGAGGATTTGTTGGTCAGGGAAGGACTTGAGATGGTTTTATGGTGGGATTGGGTTGGGTACACGTACAACACGTGGACACTAACGTAATTACTTTATTAGATTAACAAAGTAACTACACGAACACAATATAGACCAAGATAAATATTTCACTGATCAAGACCAGAACACGCTAATTATTTTATTATAATACACTCTCACTCTCAAATACAGTCAATATTTTTCTCACGCACACACGCTCTCACAACTCACTCATTGTTTAATTATAGTTAATATTCAAGTTTCCAAAATATCCATGGAACTCCAATTTCTTGATCCATCTAGAAGCTTCTTTGTAAAGGAGCACTCCCCCTCAACACTGACTTCTGCTGGTTCATTGTTCCCGTGACGTAAGGAATTTTCGCATGAGCATATTTCTTTAAGTATTTTTCCGTGCCTGAAACTTTGGTTACACATTCTCGCTGACCTTTGGTTTTGTGGGCTCTTTACGCTTGATAGATCTTCTATGTTTCTCCAATGCTCGTTTACTAGTCCGCGACTTACTGTTACTTCGTCTTCAATTCTATATTCTTTAGCTGATTGCTTCTCACGAGTGTCTGAGATTGGCAGCATCAAGTTGTCAACTGTCACCATAGGTTCTTCACTATACTCAACCGAATTTGGTAACTCTTTCATGTCTCCTTTTTTCGTCACTTGAGCTTCCAGAGTTGTCTACCCACTCATTATCTGAGTCGACAAGCTCAGCGACCGTTGCCGTTAAAGCCATCTCGACTTCTTCACCAGCTTATTCTTCTCCAGTTATGACTGAAAGTGCTTCAAGATTCCATTTGTCTTCACTTTTGTGTACCTCATCCGATGTGACTGTATTTCCTTCTGCTGGCTTCTTCCTCGACCAACAATTTCTCGCTATATGTCCTTTCTTTCCACAATTATAGCATTTCCCTTCAAATCTTCTACTTTCTTGAGGTTGACTGCTCAAATTATCTTTCTTTCGTGCCACCCCTACATGAGAACTCCTCTCGTCTTCATCTTTGTTGATGCTGTTTCTTTTCTTCCAATAACAATTTTTATTATGTCGACCTCTGCTATTCTTTACGAAAAGTAATTCTTCATCATTCTTAGATGAGGCTTGGAATATTTGCTTAGCTAGTGCTTTTTGGTCAGCTAGCAAATTTTCCAACTCTACAAGAGAAGTTTAGGTCGGCCAACCTTGCACAACAACAATAAAACTTCTATATTTTTGCCTCAATCCATGAATGGTTATTCTTCTTATCCATGAATCCGAAATACCAGCAGAAGAATCTAAATGAGAAATTTCACGACAAAGAGACTTTACCTTAGCAAAATACTGGTTTATTGTCATGTCTCGTTGCGTGATGGATAGAAGCTCGCTCTCCAAAAGTTGCAACATCGCGTCGTTCCTCTTCGAAACAACCGTGCGAATGTGTCCCATGCATCCTTCGATGTCTTCGCGTCTCTAATGTGTCCAGCATCTCGTCCTCGATCGTGGTCTTGATTGCGAACGTGGCCTTTCCAGCTTTAATCTTCCATTTTTTCAAAGCTGCAGAGTCCTCCACTGGTGTAACCTCACTACCACTCACAATCTCCCACAAATCTTGGCCTTGTAAATATGACTCCATGTACGTTGGCCACATGCTGTAATTTTGACTGTTTAGCTTCTTGATACCTCCGACCACTTGAAGGTCTCCCATCGTGGCTCCAGTTGATCACTCGCCACACACTATGCAGTACTAAATTTCACACGAACTTCATAGTACGAAACTGCAAAACTATGATCAAGAAGCTCGCCACAATAACTCGTACCTCAACCAATCGCCAGATCTAAATTGGCTCTGATACCACTTGTTGGGTTGGGTACACGCACATCACGTGGACACTAACGTAATTACTTTATTAGATTAACAAAGTAATTACACGAACACAATATAGACCAAATAAATATTTCACTTATCAAGACCAAAATGTTTGTCCCATTTTTGTTGGATTTTTCGTGCTCGTTTTGCTTTTCTTTATCCCCCGTTTTAGATCATTTCCTTCATTTTTAGTTTTTTTCGTGTTTTATTATGTGTTTTTCTTTATTTTGAGTCTTTAGGTGTTTTTTCGTTTGTTTTCCCGGTTTTCTTCGTGTTTTGTCGTTTTTGGTGTGTAGGTCGGGAGCTTCGGGAGAATTTTATCTTCAGGAAAAGTTGGTTTCGAAAGCACAATTGGATAGATGGGTTCGTTAGCGACGTGTAGCAAAAAACGGAACTCAATTCCGGGTTCGGATGAGCCCAAACGACCCCAAAACGTAAAATGGCGCAGTGCAGTCCAAAGTCGCGACTCGCGAGAGAGAAGTCGCGACTCGCGACTTTAACAGAGCCTCCGACCAGCTGCGCGACCCCACGACCCGTCAGATTCGCGACTCGCGAGTCAACTCTCGAGTCGCGACCTGTTCGACTCTGTTTTTATTTTTTCTCCGTTTTTACTCGTTTTAGTTCCGTTTTTCGAGCTCTATATATAAAAACGACCCCCCAGACCTAAGGAACAACCCCCAATATCGTTCATTTCAATCTTTCTCACCAAAAACTCAATATTGTTAGGATAAATTTCTCCGCTTTTCTTTTTTTCTTCTCTCATGCGTGGATTGTTGGACACAAAGATATTTGGATTGAAATCTTGCAACTCTTAATCCGATTGTAAGTTTTTCAATTCTATTTTATCATTGTTGATTGGTTTTATGTTCTTAATTCCGGTTAACATGAAATTGAATCTAAGCATGAGGTAATCCATTCACCTAGGGTTAGGGATTTTGATTCTTGTTTTGAATTATGAGGAATGTGTTTTGTTCAATCTATACGAGTTGTGTGAATTATATGGTTAGTTGATTGATCACCATTCGAACCTAGTTAATCGACGTTTAGAACCCAGAGGGGAGACGTCGGTCAATTTAGGCTTGTATAGAGTAGACATGTTCGTAAAAGTATTGTCTATGTGTTGCTTGTTTGAATGAATTTATCGTTTATGTTTGTGCTCTTGTTACGAAGAGTTACTGAGCATAGCCCTCTAGACGTGTAGGCTTGTTTAATCTTGTAACCGAACAAATAAGCGTTCAACATAGTTTAAGACTTGATGAGATTTCCCAACCCCTAGAACTTCTTCTTTTTCTCTAGAAATTTAATTGTTATTTCTTTAAATTGTTTTTCTAGTTCTAGCTTGTTTTAGTTGATTCCCCAAATCAATCGTGATTAGAGAGTTTAG